ACTAGAGGGACTTTCTCCAGCGTCACCAGAACCCCATAGGAAAGCACTGAATAATGCTTTCCTATGGGGAAGTCTAATGCACGTGCGCGGCCATTAGGTCTCCCCCGCTGGCTGACGTTGGCAGGGGAGGAGAGTGGGCAGAGCCGGAGCCAGTGTTGAGGGACATCGGCGCTGGATTCAGGTAAGTCACTTAAGGGGTTTTAACCCCTTCAGCAACATGAGATGGGGGGTGGGAGGGAGAGGGGCACTGCAGAGTCCTGCAGTGCCAGGAAGTGGATGTATTTTCCTGGCACTGGAGAGTCCATTTAACTTTGGATTCCTGCATCTCTTCAGTTACTTCAAGGAACCATAAATCAGTCTACACTGGAAGGTCTTCAACTCCCATCATTTATTAAGGAGAGATAAGTTCTCCTATGATTGTATTTACTAATTGGTTCTAGCCACATGTTTCTAGGGAGGATAAAGGTTATCCAAAGTCTGCTTCTGAGATTCTACTTGCTATATATCTTTGAAATATCAATGGCCAATTACTCAATGGTATTAATTATCACTATTGGAGCCTACTAACTACAACCACTTCACATACCAGGATAATTCTTTACCAAGTTATTTCTTTATACTAAGAGACTGATACTTTGTACTACAGGAGGCACCTGCTTGGCAACCTTATTGAAGTTTTATGGACTATACTACATACTGCTAATTAAGCATTCCTCATTGAAGTCACTTGGACTATATTGTTTGCTGTTGAGTAAGTATTTCCTTATTTTTATAATTGCTATATTCTTGTGTTGCAATTCTGAAACACAATTCCAAGCATTCATGCATTATTATTTCAAAACCTATTTGCTGCAAAAGACTGCCAAAGTTAATTTCCTTTATTTAAATAAGTTATATTTTCTTAAAGGGACGGTATAAAATTTATTATTTGATCTGCAGTTGCGTTCCAAATAAATTCTCCCGCGAGCATGACACCCTTCCCAACGCAGCATAAGATTGGAAGACAGCGGTTCCTGGCAAGACGAAGGAGACATGCTACTCTGCAATCAACAGGCGTCACTCTTCAGTCGACAGATGGAACTGTAGTAGGCCACACAACTACACCTCTGGTGGTGGCAGCAACAAAGGCGTCGACTATGCCACTGAGGAAACAATTAGGTGGCAATCGCATCCTTTCACAAGAACGGAGCCGGGAAGCCAATTGGACCACAGTTGACCGATTATTTGGACTTGAGCGTCCAAAGTCTGAGCGGGCAATTGCCCCGTACCCAGCTGGCCTGGACTGGAGAATTGACCCACCTCAGTCACTCTACCAGGAGCAATAGTTTCCAATTACTCCATACACGACACACATATCCGACACCGGCAGGCAGTCACCCCCTACTGCGCTCTGTGGCCAACTGCTAGAAGCAGCTCCACCCACACTAGCGCACCACACCCAGCCCCACCCCGGACACGTGGACTAGTGACCTAGAACTACCAAGACCCAAACTGCAGACCTCCCCTGAGATTAGGCAGAATGAACCTGGAAACATTTTCCCCTGTGAAACTCCTCTCGATTAATGCCATAGGGTTAAACACCCCTGAGAAATGCTCCCTTGCCCTGAAATTTTTGAAAGCTCAAAAGGCCGATATAGTGTATATACAGGAAACCCACTTCAGGGAAGGTAGCGCACTGAAATGAACCAATCATATCTTCACACAAGGCTACTATGGCAGGGCCGGATTAACATAGGGGCTGATAGAGCTGCAGCTCCAGGCCCAGGCCCATGGAATAGGCCCATTGATTTAAAAAAAAAAAAAAAAAAAAATTATTTTTTTTTGTACTTTTTTTTTTCACACACTACTCTTAGGGATTCCATCTGGCTTTTATTTTATTGGCACAGCCAGTATTTGGGGCTGCCTGGCGGTGCCAATATTGCAGTTATACTGGCAATACAAATGCTGGTATTTTTATCAGTATAAACAAGAGATTACTCTTCAATACCAGCACTGGCCAGTAGGGGTCGCTGTGTGTGGAGACAGGCATGGATAGGAAGTTCCAGCATATCCCTCCCTGCCTATCTATACTCACTGCTCTGCAGGGGTGCAGCTACAGAGAGTCCAGACAGCAACTCCCACCCTGCAGAGAAAGCCTACAGCTCAGGGAAGTGAGTTATGGGGGGACAGGCTGCAAGGATACATATACTGAGACACTAAGGGACACTGGGAGACATTATGGCAGACACTGAGACATTAAGGGACAATGGGAGACATTATGGCAGACACTAAGGGACACTGGGAGACATTATGGCAGACACTGAGACACTAAGGGGCACTGGGAGACATTATGGCAGACACTGGGACACTAAGGGACACTGGGAGACATTATGGCAGACACTGAGACACTAAGGGACATTGGGAGATACTATGACACAGACACATGGGGACACAGTGTCCCCATGTCTCCCAGCCACTGTCCCTGGTGTCTCAGTGCCCCCTAGTCTCTCAGTGACCCCTAGTCTCCCAGTGCCCCCAGTCTGCCAGTGTCTCACTGTCCCCATGTCTTCTAGTGCCTCCATGTCTCTCATTGCCTCAAGTGTCACAATGTCCCCATGTCTCCAAGCTAGTGTCCCTAGTGTCTGTGGCCCTGGTGTCTCAGTGTCCCCATGTCTCCCAGTGCCCCATGTCTCAATGTCCCCATGTCCCCCAGCCAGTGTCTCTAGTGTCTGTGTCCCTGGTGTCTGTGTCCCCATGTCTTCAAGTGTCCCCTATTTTCCCATTGTCCCCATGTGTCCCAGCCAGAGTCCCCTAGTCTCCCAGTGTCACTGGTGTCTCCGTGTCCCTAGGTCTCCCCATGTCCCCAGGTCTCCCTGTCTTCCTAGAGTCCTAGTGACATGGGGACCCTGGGATACATGGGGACACATGGGGCATTGAGACACTGTGATACATAGGATCACTGGGAGACCTGGGGACACGACACTAGGGGACACTGGGAGACATGGGTCACTGAGACACTGATACATAGGAACACTGAGACCTGGAGTAATTGACACATGGGGGCACTGAGTCATGAGGGCACTGCGAGGAATCCATCTATACAGCAGAATCAAACTAAGTAGTTTTTTGGTGATTTTACAGCATTTTCTCTTATGTCACTCCTTGTGATTTATATCATGTGATGTCACCCATACATATTTCATTATGCAAATTAGTAAGGCCGGTATGTTTTTCCAAGAAAGGTGGCAACCCTAACTACTTTTCACATACTCTTGCTTAAGTATGCAAACTTAAGTGGGATGTATGGGAACAAAACTTGTGTGGACTGGCTGACAATGAATATAGTTAAAGGGACACTATAGTCACCAGAACAATTACAGCTTATTGAATTTGTTCTGGTGAGTAGAATCATTACCGTCAGGCTTTTTGCTGTGAACACTGTCTTTTCAGAGAAAATGCAGTCTTTACATTACATCCTAGTGATAACTTCACTGGCCACTCCTTAGATGACTGTTAGAGATCCTTCCTGGGTCATGGCTGCCTAAAATGTATCCAAACATTCAGTGTCTCCTCCCTCTGCATGCAGACACTGAACTTTCCTCATAGAGATTCATTAATGAAATTTATCTATATAAGGAGATGCTGGTTGGCCAGGGCTGTGTTTGAACCTTCCTTCTCTGACCCCGATCTGCCTCTTTGTCAGTCTCAGCCAATCCTATGGGGAAGCACTGTGATTGGATCAGGCCACCACTTCTAATGATGTCAGCAGACTGCTTGTTTTTATGAGTCTAACAGCATGCCGAGTTACAGCTTCAGGCTTGAATATAGATTTTGCTATATTTATGGAGGCATGAGGGTTCCAGGGGGGGCTAGATGGTGGTGTTAATACTATAGGGTCATGAATTCATGTTTGTGTTCCTGACCCTATAGTGATCCTTTAAGGTAATGCTGACTTTGGTCTCTCTAACACTGTGGCATGTTCCCTTTCTTCTACACTCACTACATACAGCTTTTCTCTGTCACAGACCATATACCAGGAGCTTCTGCCTGCTAGTAAGAAGGTAAGGAGACAAGTGGACGAGCGAGTGCTAGGGGACGGTCCTTAGAAAGCGTTGAGTGAGCGCATCATTAGATGCATTTATGCCAAGCTCAGGGTGCTGTCTGCATAGTATGCCCTTAGTTGGCCAGCTGCATGATTGGCAGGCAGCCTGACATGCATTCATGTCAGGCTGGCCTTCTAATTCTTTGAGCAGACATGTCCTCTTTTTGGGCATGTTTGCCCATTTTGGCAGGTTACATGATTTGTGTCAGTGGCAAACCCTTTTACCATGCCCATTGACTTCCTGCTTGATTGGACGTTGCTGTTAGGGGTTATGGATTTACTTGAAAACTTACTTACATAAATTAGAGAGTGATTAGCCTAGGGTATGTGTTTTCTTATAGCTGCTGTTTTCTTTCTCTCCAGCACCATCTCCATCAGATACATGATGCTTGGGAGTGTTTTACTGTTTTTAGTCGATATGATTCTATAATTAGGCCCGTCATAATTGTCAGCACCAGGCCCACTGGGCTCTTAATCTGGCCCTGGCTGGATCTACTATTATCCTGACAGCCAGTGAGTGGTGCGGGGTCGAGAGAGAGACGAGGTCACAGTCATTGTCAACGGTGCATGGTCCGTCCACGTCATGGGACCTATGTGTCAGGTTCCTATCCTGACTAGCAAGACTTTTCTATTTTGATACCGTAGCTTTAAATTCCAGTACTTGTTTC